TGAAAAAGAGTCTGCAGATAAGACAGCATGTGGACAGGGAGGCTGGAGTCTTTTCAATCCACTGCCAGCGTGGTAAACAGCAGCAGGCGTGTTTGTGAGCAGTGGGCGGGGCCTGGGCTCCACATGCTGTTCAAACACATGGAGTGTGAATGACCAAGAGATACAGAGCTGCAGAGACTTGAGGTTTCCATTGACACCACACGCGCACGTGCACACGCACGCCTTTACTTCTTTTTTCCAGAAATTCCAAATCAACATGGAAACTTTTTTACTGGCAGAGCAGCTGGAATGTTAAATCAACATGACAAATATCCCGTCTTCAGATACCGAGCCAAGCATCCAGATGTTTTTTTTGTTTAGCCTCAAGGCAGCTTCTTCTTGTTTTAGCAATCACAGAGCATTGATGGCTGATAAAAAGCCAAAAAGGTTGAGAGGGAATGCATCAGGGGTGGTTAACCTGTTGAACTTGTGTGACTTAGAGTGCTGCTGTTGCTTCAGGAGGAAGACCAAAAACCGAGTGCAGACCAATTTCCCCAACCTCTCTGGTATTTATACAGTGAAAGACAAACCAAAGAGACGACCTTTTAAACAAGCGTCTCCTGTGACCTGCTGTTTCCCTAAACATTCACCCTTAAGAGCTGTTTTAAAAAGGTTTTTAACATTTTTGATTCCATGGACAAGTCAGAAATATTACAGCTCTCAGTTTGACCTATAAAACAATCCTCAGCCATACTGTGTGTTGGTGCTAATTAGCAGATGCTAGCATGTTAGCATGTTAGCATGTTACTAAACTTTGGTACAGAAACTAAATCCTCCGTGAGCGAGCTCTCTGTGAGCAGCGAGGACAAGAAATCCAACTGAACAGGCAGAAACCTGGAAAAGGACTTGACTCATTTGCAACCAGCCATCTGTGTAACAAAACCACAGGTAATTGAACTCAAAAGCACAACTCAAAACACAGTCTTTACTTCTCACAAGCAGACAGAATCCAAAAAAGTGTTCCAAGAGAAACAAAGGCTTGTACTCTTCACACAGAGGTCAAACACAAACTGGCATAGAAGGAAGGGAAGCCACAGACTAAATACTAAGGTGAGGGGGAAGACAACAAGATGCAGCTGGGAACAATCAGGGCGGGGCAGACAATCACACAGGTGGGAAACACATGAGGGCAGGAAGTGGAGGGTCTGAAATGAGAGGAGAGGTTAGTAACCCAAAACAGGAAATAATACAAAAGTAATACAGGTGCCAAGGTTTAGAGATGTTACTCCCTTTAATCAACACTGAAATAACTCAACATTTCAATGAATTCTCCTTACATTTTGTGTATATATTTATGGAATCCTTCTAATTCTGATCATCTCCTTATGTTTCTGAGTTGGAATTTTATATTCTCTCAACAAATGGAAACCATGTGGTCCTTTGATGTAGGTTCAACCCTCTCTGTCCGCTTCATGAAAGCAATACACTCTTAATACTTTTTGATATGAAATGGAATTTCATAAAAATATGTCAGTGTGTTATATTTTCATGAGGGATCAGGAGTGCTGTGTGTCTCTCTCTGTGGAGAGCCAGAGCTCGCTGTCTGTAAGTGGGTCACAGCTCCGCTCCCGCCGCTGTGCAGGGTAGTTCAATGAGCCCCCGCCTGAAACCCTCCTTAGGCTGATTCAGGGAGAAATAATGGGGCCAGCGACTCCCAATCCCCTTGAGAGCCGTCAGCGCAGCAACGTGGCAGCGAGCTGGAAGACAGAGCAGCTATTGGCTCTTTTAGACCCTCATACCCTGCATACCACACATTCTGTTTCCATCTACAGTGGAGCCAGTGCATCGAGTCCATACTGTACATTAAAGGGCAATTTCACATCATCATTTCCAGTTTCGCTCTCCGCAGGTCAAGGCGTGAACAAATCAGCTCCGGGTCACGAGTTAAAATCCCAAATGCAGCTAGAAATGATTTTCACACAGTCATAAACCAATACATACTATCAACGGGGCTGTTGCTAAATTTGCTGAATTCAAAATATAAAGCAAAAGACTATTTGTGACGAAATAAAATATGCACACGGCACATGCTAATTGTTTTGAAGTTGGAGGTGATAAATATTTCTGCAGTAGTTGATTGTGCTGCAACTATATATCGCTGCAAAGAACACAAGAGGGGAGAAGTGGGAGGAGATGAATGGATGGAGTGTTCAACTTGATAGCATAGTCAGGCTACTAGTTAGCTCAGGCTATTAGTCAGCTCAGGCTACTAGTTGGCTCTTAGGTTACAAGTTAGCTCAGGCTACTAGTTAGCTCTGGCTACTAGTTAGCTCTTAGGTTACTAGTTAGCTCTTAGGTTACTAGTTAGCTCAGGCTACTAGTTAGCTCAGGCTACTAGTTAGCCCGTTAACCACACCTAGGTGCATAATACAAAGAACATATATTTACTTCAGGCAATAAAAATTATGGATTTCATGGTCACATATTTGGAGTTCCTTGCAGTTAATTTTGCATGTGCCGTGTGTAATCAAATGAAGAAATCCACTGGAGGCTGCTAGCTTAGCTTCCATGTTGCTAACCATCGTTACATGAGAGTCAGAGAGTCAGGCATGCCACTTGATGTCACTAATAATTGGATGTTTCCTGATCTTCAAAGACCGCAGGGCACAAAGAAATGTAACAAGGTTGAGGGAGAATAAAGCCTCTGGATCATTATGATGACGCAGACTTCATGGCCTTGGCATCACAGTCACGATGAATTCTCTCCTGCTCGTCTGCGTGTGTGTATCCAAGCATGTGATTTTGAATGTGATTCTAAATTTGGGAATAATTGAGGGCATCCAGGAATAGACTAAATAGGCAAACACACACAGAATTGGCTTGAAAAGGAGCTTCCTGTACACTGTATTTTTAGGAGCTCCTTGACTGTAGTTGAGAAATCCACTTTGTTCAGCGAGCTGTCCTTCACATCGAGGAAGGAAAAACAACAAAGACTTCTGCCTCTGTGTCTCTCTTCTGCGGTTTTGCCTTTGGAGCAGAAATGTGCCCGTACAGATTCAGTGAAAGTATAAAAGGGAAGTTGTTTTTTCTCTCAGACAGACAGTCAGTGCAGAGAGAGGGTGAGGAACATCGTGTCCCTCCTGGTGGCTTGGTGGTGGTGGGTTCTTATGTAAGGCTGATTTCTGCCTGGCAGCAGAGCAAAGCCCCACTGACACTGTCAGACTCCTAATTAATACACGCTGGAGGTGTGCCCTCAGTGGTTCATTTTGTGTCTGTTCTGGAGAGCTGAAGTGATGCCCATAAAGAATATTAAAGGGGCACATGTCTCGTAATCATATTGTGAGTGGGGGTGTTTTTCATTATCACCGTAATTGGCTTTCCAAGGGGATATGCCTGGAAAACGACATTTATAAATGTAAAAAATAAGAGGAATATTTTTCTTAAATATTCATCAAACAGAACTAACATAATGACTGCCACTTCCTACTCTCATAGTTTGTTTTCCGCTTTGGGAATAATTTCATGAAAGTTTTTGCTAGCATCGATGTCAGTTATTAGTTATACGGGTGCCGTACTAGTTAGCTCAGGCTACTAGTTAGTTCTTAGGTTATTAGTTAGCTCAGGCTACTAGTTAGTTCTTAGGCTATTAGTTAGATCAGGCTACTAGTTAGCGCTTAGGTTACTACTTAGCTCAGGCTACTAGTTAGCACAGGTTACTACTTAGCTCAGGCTACTAGTTAGCACAGGTTACTAGTCAGCTCAGGCTACTAGATAGCTCAGGCTACTAGTTAGCACAGGTTACTAGTCAGCTCAGGCTACTAGTTAGCACAGGTTACTAGTCAGCTCAGGCTACTAGTTAGCTCTTAGGTTACCACTTAGCTCAGGTTACTACTTAGCTCAGGCTACTGGTTAGCTCAGGCTACTAGTTAGCACAGGTTACTAGTCAGCTCAGGCTACTAGTTAGCTCAGGCTACTAGTTAGCTTTTAGGTTACTACTTAGCTCAGGCTACTAGTTAGCACGTTAACACACAGAGATGCATGACACAAAGAACATATCATCATATGTCATAACATCCACTTGTCATAATTAGATTAGCGTCCCGATGTTTTACATGTGGAGCAAGCCAGGAAAATGTAGACCAATCAGAGGGCTTGAGGTCTGGTCGTGTCAACGCAAGGTTACATTTTTAAGGAGGTGCTTATAGGCTAATGATGCTTTATCTCCAATTCCACACATATCCCAAACATAAATGTGATATCAGTCTTATATCACTGACAACACACACTCAAATAAACCTGTCCTTAAAACAACTACAAAATGATTCCCTGTTGAAAGTAAAAGACAAACTTTGGAAAATACCAAAGTGCATCGTCTCAAACTACAATCTTATGATAAGAGGTGTTATATCCATTATCTTACCATGGATGTGTGATAACTCCATGGTAAAGAAACAATACGTTTCTATGTGACACTGCCAGCTATTCATATCTGACTGTGGGAGATAGAATCTTTATTCACTCATTGAACCTGTCAACCTCTGGACTCTTACGACACAGTGGTTTCTGCAGACGCGTGGCTTGGCAGGAAGTTGTTGGCTCAGTCGTTTCCTGACTTGGACTCGGACTGAAATAAAAAAAACACTCACAGAGGGAGAGAAAGTGTTTGGCCGGGAAGTTCAGCTGCTCACTCTCCACAGGATGGAGGTCGGATATCCTCCTCTTTGTGAGACTATTAGACAGTGTGTCAAACACATGGTTATCCAGCGGCTGAAGGGGGAAGGATAAAGACAGCATGTGGGAGATGGAGTCTCAGTTATTTGTCTTTACATTTTCAATCATTTTTTCAAAGTGAAATAGTTTTGCCATTCTTATTTAAAACACAGCAGAGGGCATTTCCTGTTGATTTCAAATACCAGCTTTATGATACTGTCAGAAATGAATGCATTACTTAATCGTGTTGGTGTTCCTGTTTTGTCAGTTTTGTTCGAAATTTGTGGAAATCAATATCAAAGACAAAGTGGTACCTCTTTAAATAAATTCATTTATTTCTGTAGGTTGCTATCCATAATCAATACAGACAAAAGCAATACTCGACTACCAGAATTGATAAATCATTATAATCATCTCTTGTGAGCATCACAATAAACAGTATATTGAACTATGTACAATGGAAGACGATGACACGGTCAGACTGAGCCGATCCAAGATGGATCTGTAAAAGAAGAGTCCGTCCATGGGACACAGAAATGTGGGGAGAGCGCTTTGAGACATGTTAAGAACAAATTTCCAAGCAACAAAACCAAAACACTTGGCAGAAAGAGAAATGTACAAGGAGCAAAACAGAAAAAAAAAAGAAAATGATGCAATGTTACATTTGGTTCCACGGTTGTAAACTAGATTGTTTCATGTCACTATTGCATATGCCATTGGGTAAAGTGTATCGACAAGGCAAAGAGATCTCTATAATAAAATAGTATTTTTTCATATAGTCAGACACTGTGAGGGAGAGAAGCATACACTGTACAAGCCCAAAGCAAAAGCCCCGCCCCCTTTTTAAAAATCTGTAGCCAAAGTCTTTACACAGGAATATCATTGCAACAAAGGTCAAATCTAAGTACTCTATGTATGTCCAATAGATTTCTTTTAGTTAAACTCTCTTATGTACACATATACACATTCAAGACTGTGAACATAAATAGATACCACAACCTTGCGCGGTACAGCTCCAATATTAGATGACTCTGTGAAAACCATTTCCCACATTATGCTCCTGTGGTGTTAAGCTCAGCGATACATTCAGACATGGTTCAAGTTTTACAATCTACTGTACACTAAAGGGGGTGGTGAGCCAGTACACGTTCAACAAGCTCACACGTTTGAGAAGAGAGATAATGTTAACGCAACATCTAGCAGCCATTTTGGAAGTTCAAAGCTTTTCATAAGCAGCTGAGTTTTTTGGTTGTTTTGGGAATTCTTGATTTTCATTTCAGCTTTTTAAAAATGTTAAGGGTCTTCTCAATGATAGAAGACTACGTTTTAAAAGTTAGCAAATAAAACCCTAACTTGACAAAGCTCTCGTATGGCGTTAGCAAACGTTAGCAAAGTTTTGACAGATGTTGTCAAACGGAAGTTACCGAGTAGATTTGCATACTTTTTAATCCAATATGCCGTGTACTAGTGTTACACTACAAATTTATTTGGAAATATTTTTAAATCTCTTCTTGTGGCCACAGTGGCTACTGTTGTGTAAAGTATAGCTAACTTAAAAGAGAGACTTAGCTAACTTAAAAGAGAGACTTAGCTAACTTAAAAGTGAGACTTAGGCTAACTTAAAAGAGAGACTTAGCTAACTTAAAAGAGAGACTTAGGCTAACTTCAAAGAGAGACTAAGGCTAACTTCAAAGAGAGACTAAGGCTAACTACAAAGAGATACTTAGTCGGATTGGATTGTTTTAATGGTGTCAGTGATTTAGCTGACACCATTGACAGCTGATTCTCCACTGAACCTCCATGATGGTGCCAGATGTGGCAGTTGGCCTCTTTTCCACTTCTTTCTCTTTGCGGCACAGACTTCCTGGCAGCCCCCCTTTTCCCTAACTCACTGCATGATCAGAAACCATTTTAACTGTGCCCCAGCCTCATCATTTTTTCCACTGGCTCCACCCCTTCATCGTCACCTAAACTAGACAGTTGTGCCGTCAAATGATATCACAGCAGGGCGGCCTGCGTCGAGCTCAACAGCAAGGCCGTAGGATCGAAGGTAGGAGTGTGTGAGGTCTTCAGGAAACGTGGGAGGTACAGTGCATTCAGATGCCTGGTGTTGTGGGGGTCTGAGCTAAACCACATGCATAACTCTCAAAAGACATTTAGAAATATATTTCTTTAAGTCCAGCTCTTTGATTGGACACAAATAAAACTAGGTTAGAATAAATAAGAAATTATTAATTAAGAAAATACTTTAATATTAATACGATAAATCTGGTCTCAAGCAGCCTCCCTGTATTGTACATTTCTGACATGTTAAGCTAGGCTTCTTACTTTTATCAACAGAATAACAATATAGAGACTCCGGTCCAAATAGAATATTTATCTCTTATTTCATAGAAAACATAAGGACAGTATAGACATTAAGGCATCGGGTAGGTCTTATCAGACATTCATCTTTCAAAAATAAATAAAATATCTAAATCTAAATATAGTTATTTACTCAGTGTACCTTGGTATCATCATTCCCTGGGCCGTTTTAAAGTTTCATTTCTCACTGGCATACTGGTTGGTTGTGTCTCTGAAGCATACTCGCACACACACACAGCCAGTCATAAAACCAGCCTCAAGTAAATAAATAGTATCTGGGTACCATTAGAGTTTTCTTATTGTCTTGACTATCTTTCCTTTTGTGCTTTGCGCCAAGATTTGGGTCAGAGCAGAAATGGGCCTCTGAAAGCGCAGGGAACATGAGACACACACAAACGCACACACATCCACTCGTACACACGAACACACCTGTCTGGCCTTCAGCCAAATTCATGACATGCATTGATGGTGACCTGCTTGTTTCCCCAAGTGCGTGTATGCATGTGTGTGTGTGAGGGTCCAGACAGTCTTTTAGGGCCACATAGCAGAGTTTTTAGTTTCTCTTCTTGTTTTTGAGCAGCAGTTCAGTGAAGACACCGATCCCGAGGATAAAGGAGTCCTTCAGTCTGAAAGAGAAAAGCAGAGAGAAATGGTGTGTTAGTGTATGTATCAGGCATTAGTGCAACTATGTGACTAGCACCTGCAAATTGCACTCACAAAATGTGACATTAAAAAAAATAATGGAGAAGGATAGATTCTACAGGATATGGACCAGATGGACTGAATATGTCAAACCTATAAGACCTGATTTTATTTGACTTATTGGAGTACATTGGGTGTTGTTTCCTCATTTTTTGTCATTTTCTTTCATCCGTTAACCTGCTCTGTATTTCATTTTCAATTTAATTAATGTCATGTTACTTGAATATGAAAAAATCATTGGAGGAGCTAAATTTGTTAAATATACTGCTAGCAACGTACCCACCCTCTTTCTGCAAATAAAGTGCTCCAATGTTTGAAAATGTGAGGGAGGAGCCTTGCGATTATTTATTTTTGGGCTTTTCGTGCCTTTAATGCAGAGCTAGGACAGTGGATAGAGTTGGAAACCAGGGAGAGAGAGCGGGGAATAACATGTGGAAAGAAGCCACGGGTGGAAACGAACCCGGGCCTACTGCTCGAGACGAGAGTCTCAACACATGGGACGCGCACCCTAACCATTGTGCCACCAGCACGCCCCACCTTGCGATTATTTTGCTATTATGTGTAATTACTAATGTGTGAAGAATGCTTTTCCTAAAAAATAAAGGGCCCATTCCATCAGCTGAAAATTAGTCAAGGTAAATCAAATATACAAGGAAACTTAAAGCTGCCATTGTTAACATTAAAATTCTAATTGCATACATCATAATTACATTTGAATTCCTTGGCTAAAACATAATAAGAAATGACATACGTCAAGCTAATTAAGAAGATTTGTTTCTTCAGTCTAAGTGTTAAACAAACTGCAGTTTGTGGGCTGATTATTATTTCCTTCTAAATATGACTGGTGCCAACAATGGAGACCTTTTAAGAAGCAGACGTGAGAGGCTGGAGAGAACAGAGCGCTGTACTGTACAGCATGAACTGGTTTATGGACTCAGATTAAGGCTGTGTTCTCGTCCCAGAATAACAAGGAGACACTGAATAACAAGAACAGGGAGTGCTGGATGCAGCTTCAATAAGAGGGGGGGGTTTGGAAATGTTTACTTGTTTGTTATTGCTTTATACATTCACATAGTGTGATTCTACTGCACATAAACAGCTAACTGGTCACGATATACATTGCAGAGACAAGACCCTCTCTGCAGGGTCAATAAAAAGCTATTTCAACTTGTGAAAAAAAAGAGAACCCTTAAAAGCAATATTCTCCAGAAGGAAAAGGATAAAGGAATGGTTTAATAAACAATGTATGTTAAGTCACTTAATCCTTAGATAAGAGTGAGGATTTAGTATTTTATATTATGTAATATAATAATATCCAGGATTCCCTTGTATGAATTGACTCCTGGGGACAAAGCAGATCAATATTCCTGTTTGGGAACAAGTGCTGCACAGATTGAATCCTGCAGCCGATTTCACACATATTCCAGAGTTTAGCTCCATTTGTCAATCTGGACAGGTCGCCCACACCTTGCATTAACCAGCTGCTGTCTGTGGAGAAAGCCCCTGTCCATCGCTGATCTCCCCCCCCCCCCCCCCATGGCCCATCTAATCTGGCCTGTAGAGGTCTGTAATCTCATCTGGAGAGCCGCGGCTGGCTAAATGTGGGGAACGCTGGCCACGCAGTTATCTAGCAGCTAGCGCTTTCTGTCTGGAACATCCCGCCCTACTTTTAGCCCCCCCTCCTGCCTTGCGCCATGACACACACACATCGCCTGGAAACTCTGACACAAGAGCCTGCGGTGTTACGTGTGCATGTTTGTTCTCTATATATCAAGTAACATGGCATTTCTGGATTTGTAGTGTTTGCCAGATCTCCTGCTGTAATGCAAGTCTGCAAGGAGTGTGTGTGTGTGTGTGTGTGTGTGTGTGTGTGTGTGTGTGTGTGTGTGTGTGTGTGACCCCAGTGTGAAGGGATGCAGCAACACGGGATTGGACAATCAGTCTGATGGATGAAATCAGGTGTCACCTTTACGGGTAATTCCACAAATGAGAGCTAAAAAAAAGAAAAGGCCACATGGGTTCAACAGGATTATCATATTAGCCTAAATTCCATCACAAATTTTAGTTTTGTGACTTAATTTTTCTGTAAATCCAGTATTCCCTGTGTGAAAACTGTGGAGGAAACACTTCTCTTCCCCTCAGAGCATCTACTGAGCATGCTCAGAGCGAGCGTTAGGGATGCATGGCCGAGCAGCAAGACCTCTTTCGCTCACTGCACAGGAAATGTAAATAACACATTTAGAACATAACCGGGCTCTGGGTGCATTTTTAGATCACTGCCTCGTCTTTGCGATGACATCATTCATAAATACTACTTCCTGCATGATGTTAAAAGGGAAGCAGGATTTGAGCGGAATGCTTCTAATCTGGCCGATGAATTACACACAGACACACTATGTAGGCCTGTGGGAGCGGCAGATGGTGGGGCTGTCATTAGCAGGAGGATAGTGGGTAGGTGGGGATGTGTGTGGGTTTGCTTGGAGAGTGGGGTGTAGTTGTTATGTATGCATTTATGTGCAAGAGTGGGCATATGCAGGGGAAATTGGTGTAATGAGATGGTTTGCGCGCGTGTTCAGGATAGTGCAGCGTGGCAGGTGTTTTAGCCCCCAATCCACCTCCTTTCCCACACACACACACACACACACACACACACACACACACACACACACACACACACACACACACACACACACACACACACACACACACACACACACACACACACACACACACACACACACACACACACACACACACACACACACACACACACACACACACTCCAGAGAGTGGCCATCTGCCACTAGCACTCAGGAGGGACTCACAGCAGGGCACCTCCAATCTTAAAGCCCCCCTTTAGGTTTTTCCAAGAAATGTTCCGCTACACTTTTCCTTCCTGATTCTGATTACAATAACAAGGCTAGCATATATTAGCCGCACAGACATGTTAGAATGCTTATATTAAAGCTTTTGGCTACAATAATAGCCGTGTGTGAATTTGATATTAATGCTTTGTTGGTTAACCTGGCTCAATATGCTAAATCTATACAAGTAAAACGAGCTAAGCTAATGCTACACACTTGCAGCCTTTCTTTGCATCCTGTGTCTACCAAAGAGATTTTTTTTTTTTACTTGATGTTAGTGTTTTTAAAATCTTAACTGTTGATTAAAACAGCCATAAAATGTCTATTTGCAAAAGACTGACTGCTAGGTATGCTCTAAGCTAGCAGTGCACTGTTCTTCTATGCTAGCAGCGACAAAGAAGAGTTGCTAGTGGGATCACTGAAGTAATCGAGCTAGGCTAAAGTTAGCAGCTGCTTTTCTCACTACCTTCCATGTGTTTGCTGAGTGTTGTAGATATTAGAATTGGTGTGATAAGCTGCTGTTTCGGGGGGGAAGTTACTACATTTTCGGGGGAAGCTAGCAAACCTAGCTAGCAGCCTACCATTTAGGCAGTTTTGGGGCATTTTTGGTATTAAGTGTTTATCAGAAAACTCACTGTTTTTAGTCCATCTTCTATCCTCTATCTTCTACCTATTATGATGTCTGATGATAAAATGTTTATGTACTGTACTAGGAATAATCTCGCTAGGCTAATAGAGCTTCTTGAGTCGTCACAGAGGTGTCAGGAGCTGTTTGACACCGTCAGATAAAAAGGTATTAATCAGACGGGGAAGGGGAAACAAACAGAGACGGCTGACTCGGCTAATCTAAGTCTGGTACAGAACATCCACCTGGCTGAGCTGCGGCCTGTTGATCCTGAAGGGTGATGATCAGCCGAGGGGTTTGGCTTGAGCAGACTTTTTGGGTCAGGGTGGCACAAGGTCCATGTTCCCAGCATGGTGCCCTGATGAACACCAAATCAAAGCTGTCCGCTAGTTGGGCCTGGCGCCAAAAAAGCCTCAACGACCTCCTTCACCCGGGACTGAGTGTTCAGTAAACAAGCCATCAAGTCCTGCTATCCTGGGCTTCTGAACTCCCAGAATGCACCTTGGTTCAGCAGGGCCTCACCAACGAGTTTGTTTGTTGCTTAAAAAAAAAAAATTAAAAAAAAAGCCAGAGCCCCCCATCCTCCTCCTTTTTTCTAGCGAACATGCAAGTGTGGTCCATGTCGCCCTCTCCGCTCGTCTTACTTCTGCTAAGTGAACAGCCTAACGAGGCAGAAGGCCAGTGGAGCGCACGTGCCATGCTGCCCCATTATGCACGCATTCACTCGCCCTTCCACAAACAAGCAGGCAGGCAGCACTGGAAAACAAAACACTCACTCTCTCTCTCCCTCTCTTTCTCAATTTCTTTTTCAATTCAAAGAGCTTTATTGGCATGAAAGTGTAAAATATATTGCCACAGCATATAATAACACATAATACAATAATAATAAAGAAAAGTTATAATTAGCAATTAAATATTTTAACAATGAAAAAATAAAATAAAATAAAATAAAATAAAATAATAAAAAAATAATAATAAAAAAAGAACCAGAAGCTCTCCTCTCTCTATATATACATATATCTTTTCTCTGTCTCTCTTCTCTCTCTCTCTTTCTCAGGCAACACTACTGGAAAAAAAAGGCTCCCTGAGAGAGAAAAACAGCCCTCACTGCTCTGCATGCGTACGTGCTACAGTCCACATGTATGTGCTTGTGCCTTCTTTTCCCACATTCTCCCGACTCATTTGGATTCAACGAGCTCTATTAGTGCCAATAAAAGGTTTGCACTCCCATCAAAACATGAGTCGAGAACACGTGCGGGCCCACACTGCTCGGATCAAAACAAACCCAATATGTTCCCTCATGTTGTTATTAGTCATTTATCTACTGTTCATATACACTCAGTTACATTCTGAAACATGACTCATGTACATGATCTTTCAGAATTTAGAAAATTTAGATTTTCAAAGCATTTCTCTGCTGTTTAAAAGGAAATGTAATATAACGTCTCTTCCAACACACACAGGGGGCCTTGTGGTGAAATAAAAGCCACTTTTCTATTCAGGAAGGGGGACAAAAAACAGGCCCCCCTTTCACAGCAACTTTCCAAAACCCTGCTCGGCCAGGAATGTGAAGCGTGACATCCAGTTACCTGATGGCCGCATAGCAACTCGCCCACTTTGTTGTTTCCCCCCCCCTCTCTCTCGCTGCCTACAAGGACACACACACATATCCACTTGTGCTGGGGCCTCACATGTCAGCGTACAACCCCCCCTTCTATGTGCTCACAAACACATGTGAGAAGACACAGAGTCAAACTAGGCTTTTAAGTCAACATTGTGCGCTTTGTTTACATCTGTTTGTTTGGTTATTTTGGGACGACGTATTGATCATTGGATGGTGGGAATGAGGGGGTCTATGAGGGCCATATTGATGTGCAACACATCCTAAAGCCTAGCCAACTGAAAAACAACAGGCAGAAATGCCTGGGGCTGACAGGAGGGCTTACCTATTAGCTCTGAGGCATTCTTTCAGCGTTACAAACAAGATAGTAAATAACAAGCTATATTTACTGGTTAAGCTCGACCATCCAGTCCTCTCCTCTCTGCCTTTTGCACAAACAACTTTCATTCATAACAAGCGTTGGAGGAATCCTCAAATCTACACTGAGGCAGTGAGGAAGCGAGGCAGCATCCCGCTTGTTTACTTCAGAGCTCACAGCCTGGTCACGTTTCAGAGCAGCCTCATGCTGCTTTCACATGCCGCCGGAAACCTCGCTATTACCGAATTACAAAAAAACACATAACAGAAGAAAGCACAGCTGATTCAAACTGTAAAATCAGCTGACATTCCTCACATTACATGAAAGTGTCTAAACAGCAGCTTGAAAGGGAACACCCAAAGGCCACATCAGCACCACCTCTACTCATGCTGTCCAAATCCACAGAGCCAGTTTCAGTTTGATTCCACAGGAAATGCAATGTTTGGCATTAGCCCCCTGATCCCCTCTGTCTCTGTAAACGTCACAAACAGTTAAATATGCTACAAATTGTGAGTTTGCACATTTAATTTTTTCTTTATTTTCATTGTTTTCTGTCTTCTTTTTTTTTTAACTGAGCTTTTTATTTTTTTACATGAGCTTTTTTTTTTTTTACCTGAGCCTTTTTCCCTGAGCTTTTATTTTTTACCAGAACGTTTTTTTACCTGAATGTTTTTTTACCTGAGTTTTTTTTTTTTTTTTACATGAGCTTTTTTTTTTTACCTGAATGTTTTTTTACCTGAGTTTTTTTTTTTACCTGAGCATCTTTCATCTTTGTTGTTTTTCTCTCCTCCTCAGTTTGACTGCTGACTGCATATCTGCTTTTTTCATAACCAAACTCTTGTCCTTCTTTGTATTTCAATTTGAAAAAGATTTATGTCTCACATTCCTCAAATACTTTGTCTCCTACTTTAAAACAATAACACCTGTAAGATTCCAAAAAATGAAGGAATCCTGCACTAAAACACCTGACATCAACTTCACTCACCTTTGGCAGTAGTTGCAGCCTCTTTGAATCCCAAACAGACATATGGTGAGCTGTGTAATCCGTGCATTCCGCCTTTGCAGCTGCTGGCGGCTTTGAATCCAGACAAGTCCTCGCACTTCTCCACGTCCCTGTTGTCCAGCAGGTTCAAGGCGATGTAGTTCAGTCCGCTGGGGTACCTGGCCGAGCTCCGCTGGCTCACGGGGCTGCCGTACTCCTCGTCGGAGCCCTCGCTGCTCCGGGACGAGATGTTCTCCACTGAGCTGTGCCTCTTGACCGCGTCCCCGCGCGCAAAAGACGGGAAGACGGGCGTCACCGTGGCGGTGGCGGAGAAGGTCTCGGAGCTGTGGCGCCGGCGTCCCTGCGGGTTGGCCCGGATCACCTTGGCGGAGCAGTCGGGGTCCAGCGTGGAGGAAGAGGGGCCGCCGAGCAGGAACACCCCGATGCTTTCTGGGACTCCCTGGTCCTCCAGTGAACGTTGCCTGTCTCTGCTCATCTGGCTGCAGGAGAACACATTTTTAAAAAATGCTGAAAATTACAAACTGTCATTTACACGTCATTTATTGAGCATGAATACACCATTTTTTAATTCAGATTCAACCACAGATGCACATACCTTGCTGCGTTCTGAGGAACCAGCTGAGGAGGTGAGCTGGTCATCCCGAAGCTCATCTCGGTGTAGTCACCTTTCACATCAGACCCCTTCTCCTTCTCCAGGTGGTACACTCCACCCTCCTCTTGCCTTGTCTTGTCGGCCTCCTTAGGTGAGCGCGAGCCCAGCTCAAGGTTCATGTAGTCCGTCAGAGACGACCTCCCAGGCCCCCCGCTGCCGCTGGATCCCAGAGATGAAGACCGGCTCTCTGTGGGCGGGGAGTACCTGGGGCCGCTGAAGTCGATGTTGATGTACTCCCCGGGGCTCCGAGGCTCCCCCGGAAGAGGGTGCTCGTTCATGCTGGGCAGGGTCCTCAGGGTGTCCAGATACAGCCTGTTGGGTCTCCCGAGCCGTCCTCTGTACGGCAGGCTTTCTGCCCGGCCGTGCCTGACCGGGGAGGGGACTGAAGGGCTCAGCGGGGAGGTCTGAACCGGGTGTACCACAGAATAATAATCAGACTCCCCCGGCCTTTGCCTCCCGCTGTGAGGACTCATCAGCACGTACTGGTTGCTTTCTTCACTCTTCGGGGTTTGGAGTTTAACAGGAAGTGTCAGGGAGCCCGCCTGGTGAGCGGGATCCGCAGCCAGCAAGTAGTAGTCAGGGGGGGTCTGGAGAGGGGGCGGGTTCCCGGGCGACATGTTCATGTACTCACCATGCCGGTCCGGGCTCTCGATGGAGGATTTGGATCCGCACCACATCCTCATGTAGCCGTTGTCCTCCAGGGAGCTGCTGCAGGGGGAGCTGGTCTTGTACGGGGCGGCCGCCTGCGGGTGCACCCTCGGGTTCACAATCTGCTTGGGTGCTGAGACGCACATGGGGCTCATGGGGACGTAGTTATCCACTTTAGTGGACTGGGACGCGACACCTGGCGTCATTGGCATGTAGCCGTCGTCGCCAAGGTTACTACTGGAGCTCCGGGATGACCCGATCTCAATGTCGCCGTAATCCTCCGGGTAGCACACCTTGGGGGAGGCGGAGTGCGAGTTCATCCTCATGAGGGTGTACTCATCGAGGGAGGCCGAGGACAGCGGCGTCAGCACCCGCTGCTGGCGCGGCGTGGTGAGGGAGTGCGTGCGCTTCCTGTACGCCTTGTCGAGCCCGGACCTGCTTGACCCCTCCATCGTCATGTAGGGGTCGCTGATGTCGCGGGACGGCGGCGTGCTGGACAGAGAGTCCGGGGTGTCACTGCGGGTCAGGGGGAGGAACCTGGGCTCCCCAGGGCTCGAGCTGTAGTCGTCGCACAGCAGGAAGCCGGCGTCGCTGAGGGAGCCGGAGATGGAGGCACTGCAGCTGAAGGGTCGCCTCGCCCCGTCCGGAGTGCAGACGCCGCCCCCCCCTCTGGGAGACATGCTGATGGGGCTGGAGGCGGCAGGGGGGGAGTTGGACACCGGCATGGAGCGGCTGTGCTGCAGGTTGGAGTTGGAGGAGGACTCCAGCATCCTGCAGGTGCGCCCGCTGCTCAGGGTGTGGCACCTGCTCAGACTTCCAGAGCTCGGACTTGTGGGACTTCCGGTCACAGATATGGACATGGATACAGGTCGGGTCACGCTTCCATCCCCTTCACTTGCAGTTCTCACCCGACAGGAAGTGAACTTCCTCCCCGGGGATGTAGCCGCCATGCTGTCCGTCCTGGACCGCCTCACTAGTCCAGTCTGGCTCGGGGGCAGGTTGTTGAGGTGGCGCCGCGTCGGCACCGAGATCGGGTTGGTGCTGGAAGACTGGCTCTTACTACGCGGCCGGAACTCCGACAGCTCCTTCATGGCCTTCATGGCCTCCAGGATGGTCTCATGGACGTTCTGCGCCACCACCGGGTCCTCCGCCTGCATCCAGAACTCCCCGGGCCCGGTCACTGCAGACCTGCCCACTTCAATAAAGAAGAAACTATCGGAGTGTCCGCACCTCCGGATGTTCATGAGCTGCAGACTCACCGCGGCTGTCTCTGAGTTCAGCTTCACGAAGCTGATGGTTCTGCTGGACAGACACAACCGGTACACCCCGGTCAGGTTCTTGATCTGACCCAAACCTTTGGATTTTAAGTTGACTTGCCACACCTCCTTGTAGACGGCTGCAGCCGGAGTCATGAGTCCATAGCTGGATTCCTCAAAGCCCACTAAAGAGGACGTGGACGCGGGGGTGTCGTACACCTTCCCCTCCGCTATGACGTCAGTCAGCACCCCGTGCCAGCTCTCCTGCTCCCGCTCGGTGTCCGCAGCCACGGCGAAGTACTCGTCCTTGGTGTAGAGGGCGATGAGGTGCTTGTGTTTGGCGTCGGCGCGCTTGTTTACGCACAAACAGGAGTCCAGAGCGATGACCCGTTTGGCCGCGGACTTGTTCCTCCACTTCTTCTCGCTCTCGTAGTACTCGAGCCGGGCGGGGTGGCGCTCCGTGGGCTCCCGCAGCACGAAGAAGCGCCTGTGCCCGTGCTTCTGTTTCCTCAGGTACCCGCACTTCTTCACCCCGCTTGTCCCGTTGGATAACAGGTGTCCCCCTCCTCCTCCTCCTCCTGTCGCCGGAGGACTTGCCATTTCTCTCCACTTCTGTTTTTTTTTTTAAGTTCCGGATTAAGAAGAGAAGAAAAAACTCGAAGCAAACTTAAAGATCACCCGTTTTTTCAAATCGAATCCATTTAACACCGATTGCTGTCATCCACAGCAGTACGGGGACCAGGACCAAATGGAGGGGATTGATCAGTTCCAGGAGAAAAACAACATGTGACGCTGCTGCTGGCTGCTTGCTCTAAAAACAGAATAAAACACGGAGTCATAGGGGGGCGGTGCCTGTCCTGTGTGTGCAAAGGGGGGCCGTGCCTGTCCATCAGCCGGCTGCGACGCCGCCTATTGGCTGGCTCCGATAAACCCCGCCCCCCGTGTTTTCCAAAACAGCTCTCTCATGTAGAAACTGAAATTATCAGATTGAAAAACAAGAAAGTGTTTATGATGTGTTGTAAAAACGAAAGAGTTTAGGGCACGTTTTTATATCTGTGTTTCACAAAGCAGATTCAAATATATGGTGATTATATTTGATGTTTTTAGAGTTAATGAGGATTTGAAATGTGCAACAACATAATGCATTCATTTTCTGAGGCTACACTGTAAACAACCCCAGCTTCTTATGTAAGTGTGTTGTGGCCTATTTTTTTTTCTTCATCCATTATGAACCCTTTTTACATCCTATTTCAGAGCATCACATGTTCATCCTCACATCCAAAAAGTAAAGCATTTTCAAAACATGTCAAAGCACTAATGGTGACAGTTGAAAATGTATTTTCAGCCTCAAAGAATTTGCTCGTGATGTGATGTTCCCTTCATGCTTTTGATGCAATTTGCTGCATTTTTACAAGATCTTCATACTGAATGAAAAACAAACCAGGTCTCTCAGAGGGGAGAGTGACTAAAGCAAAATGCGTCAGAAGCCTCAGCACAATCCCAAGTTTGCAGAAATGCTGCCATCATCTGGCTGCTCTGGCTCACTCTGCAGCCTGCAAGACTTTTTTTTTTGTTCCCACACAAAAAACAACTTCATTCCTCTGTGTGAATGGAATCAGAGACAAACATTTCATTTATCACAGTGATTGGAAAAACAAGCGACTATCAGGCTGTGAACAGATCACAAACATCTGTCCATCAGATCATCCCGGTAATTAAGCCATGTAATTCTGTGATCTTTGTAATCGTTTAGTCATGCCAGTGCAGGAAAAGACCCCCCCCCCCACCACCACCACCACCACCTAAATACACTTGGATTGCTTTATATAGGAGCCTAATCCCCCCAACAAGCAGATTACACCTCTGGGTGGGGTGAGGTGTCATTGTGTAGGGAGGGTAACCCCTCCTTTAATGAGCATATCTAACAAACATGTACATACTGCAGATTAAGAGTAATCCCTGACTCCTCTAATCACTATTGTTCTCACTATTGTTATTTTTGTTACCAATGTGTGTTTTTTTTTGCACGTGTTAATCACCAGGGGTTAAACTCTTTAGCCGCGCACAAGCTATAATCTGAGCTATGCAAAACACATAAACACCTCCACCGGGATTTAGTAACACATGCCATTTGACCACAAATATAAACAGCCTGAGGCAAAAAAAACAACAACAAAAGAACACAAAGATTATTGTTGGCATCATAAGTGGTGATGACACACAATAAGGAGGTTAGGGAAGGTTGGGAATGCCAGATATTATTATTTGGCATTGGAAACTCTAATTAAATAACTTGTTGTTTGAAAATGTTTTGAAGACAATTGGTGGGACGATGTGTGCTCATAGGTTCCCACAGGGTTTTATTTACACACCAATCTGTCTGTTTTCAGTCTCAATCCGGGATTTGTCATTTGTTTTCCTCTTCCAGGTGTGCCACAAGATCTTCAAAATATTATGTGGCTCATATTGTGATTTTCCTCTGTCTTTCCTCTTTCCCATTCTGTAAAATATAGTCTGCATCTTCTCCAAGCAGATGCTGATACCAGTAAAGAAAAACATCAGCCAATAAAGGGAGGGGGCTGTTCCACCTGCAGTGGGATATTTTGGGAGTCTTTCCACAGCTGGTTAATTTTCAACTCCATGAGGCTGACAAGTTAACCCCATGTGTGATCAGAGGATAGACACGTGTTCCCTCCCACTGTCACACCTCCACATGATCCTCTCAGTAGCTTCAGTAAGGTCCATTTATTAGCATTTAAACTAGCTTTGATAGCCATCTTCAAAGTTGAGTCAAACATATATTTCTGCTCTCCTCTGAACTCTTATTGATGTTTTTATCTTTAACAATTACTCTGATAAAATAACAGGATGTCTTTAAGATTCAGTAGTAGGAGTGATATGGGGAGTCTGTTAGTAGTATTCATTGGGCGTAGGATTCCAGTGGGAATTATCTGAATATGTCACAGTAGTAGCTCTTGGCAATCTCGGCAGGAATAGAAATAGTGGAACTTACAAAGTAACCATGTAGGGCAGCAGTAGCTCAGTTTGTAGGGACTTTGGTTTGGTTTGGTGTGTCTTTGTTACGCCCCACCATAAGGCGGCCCTAAGGGGACAACAACAATCCACACACTGACCCAATAAAAACTCTAAAACATCTTTCCCAAGTTAAAAAACAGATTTATTACAATTAATCTAACTTAATGATAACAAAGTTCAACTTAGAAAGTAACATAACAAAAGACAACAGACAAGACTGAAAGGCACAGCAGGCCCAGTCCCAGTCCCAGGTGTACCTCGTTATTCAATTAGTGGCTTCACCTGGGCTGCAGAACAGAAAGGGAGAACATTCTCCTCTCCTCTCCTCTGCTCTGCTCTGCTCTGCTCTGCTCTGCTCTGCTCTTCTCTCTTCTCTTCTCTTCTCTTCTCTTTTCTTCTAGCATGTTCAACAACAGAGTGTCAAAATTGAATTTCCCCTCATGGGATGAATAAAGTCTTTAAAATAAAGTCTGGAGCGCTCAGAAGTTCTAACCAAGTATAGTGAAGGTGACAGAAAACATTCAAAAAGAGGAATAAAGCCAAGACTCTCTTCTGAAATAAAAGTAAAAATACTTTATTAAATTTCATCATAGAAATGTTAAAAAAAAAAAAAAACGGTATGTATACAAAAAGCTGTGTAACAACCAGCAGCCTTCTTCATGGTGTCATACCCTGATCACCTTGTTTTTAACATAGCACCGGTTATCTTCTTGAACCATTTCTACATTAAAAAAACACTTTTAAAGTAGTTTAACCATGTTGTGAAGTCTACACAAAAAGGTAACCGAGTGGTTTCTTTTCTTTTCTACATGAGGCTAGTTACTTTTCTGCAGGACTAGTTCTGTTGTCTTAATTTAGCTTCTTACTGAAAAGGCTTAACATTGGTACGGCACACCCAGGGAGGTAGGTATAGCTTTAGTGAAGTTGTTTTGTCTTCCATATAAAGCTCTCAAAAGGGATTCTCATCGAATGTTTTTCAGAGTGATTAGGAATCACAACAGGAGCAAAACAAGTGACCAAAAGATGTGTCACCCTAGCTCTGTTTTCTTTCTTCATGCACACAGTGGGGACACAACATCCTGGTGTTTTACTGTAAAACTATTCAAAGATATTCAGGAGTTAAGTCTTCATCTTTGGCACAAACTATCATCTCATAACCAAGATGAGCAGAGTACAGAAAAACACGATTTTTTTTTTTATATAGTTTTTGTGATAATGAAAAAGGTAGATTAAGATCAGATTGACGGTAAGATCCAGACTTAGTGATCCTCACACACAGAGCAAACACAGAGCAGCAGTGTGGCATAAGAAGGGAGGTGCATTGATTTAACACAACACTGACTTCTAGTGGCTGAGGGGGAAAACGGGAACCTGTGTTCTGTGAAATGTTTTTGTAAACCAGACTCTTCCAAGAAATTGAACAAAGCCTTTAGTCACGTTTTGGGAAATCCATGATTTACAAAGTTTAAATATTAATAATAAGGGAAACTGTTCATCTCAATTATTGTTTATGTTAAAACATTATTTTGCTCCAGTCAGATCATATATACAAATGTTAAACATTTGATGGAGAGTTTTCGAGGGAAATTTGAACTGATAGAAGACTTCCTCTAGTCTGTGGGCTGTTAATGCTAAAGGCACCGATTTAAATTCATCTAATAAACAGAGTTACATAATATTTAATTGAACTCAACATTGTTGACGCGAGGTCCAAGTGTCAAAGTATTCTTCACAGTGCACTGCAACACCTGAGAAATCTTGGGACTGTTGACAAGCGAGCACAAAGCTTGGACCTCGTCACTTCCGGTTACTCTCTCTTTTTTTTTTTTTTAATTCTTTTTTTTTTAATCAAGTTAGCCAACGATACGCCGGCTTAAATTTCAAAATAAAATACACGCTCAACTACGTGTTATTTTCACGAACTTGAATGTGGTCGAAAATTCAGAAATATCCATTAAAAAGTAGCAGCTAGCCACATTGTGTCTTGTAAACACTCCGTTGACCTTCATTCTTTTCTGTTTTTGTAAAAAGTAATGCGTCACGTTTAATGCTCGGACTTCCGAAACTGTCTTGAGTGACCATACAATGGCGAGCTTGATTGAACAGACTAGATAACCCCCTTGTAAGGAAAGACACTTTCCACCATAGCAAACACAGGTTAGCCCGACTGTAAGACGGAAACATGGTGTCCGCTTCGTCGCTGTTTCTTATAACATTGAGCTTTCTCTGTGGAGAAGCTGTAGCACAAGGAAAACTAGTATACGTGACTGTGGTGAGTAATAATAACCATTTTGTATAACGCCACTGTAGCTGTGTTGAACCCTGCTGCTGCAACTCTCCCCGTTTTCTCTTAAGGGGGTAAACAGACGCTCACGGAACCGCGTTCAAAATGTAGGAAGTTTTGTGTTTTCGCTTGTTATTTGTTCACATGTGAATGTGTCTGCACAGGAATTTAATCTACCAGAAAGTAATTTGTATTTCAACAAATTCGGCTTGCCTTAAATCCGGCTAGAAGATTTAATTTAGTTAAAAGAAACAAATTTCATGTTTAATTTGACCCGCTTGTCTGCTATACAAAGCGTTAGAAAATAGGAACTAGCTTAGCCGACACTTTGAATAAATCAAGTGAGGACTTGTGAACTCTCATGTTTCTGTTACTGCTTCCCAGTTAAAGTGTCAGCCTTAACCTGTTAGACCTGTCTATTCTACTTACATGACAAAAATGTGGGGAAACAAGGTGTAGCATTGTCACTGTCAGAAAACTCCTCGGTCAGCTGTAACAACACTTAGGGAAAAAGCACATGTCTGCTACGTTGATATTCTGTAGGTTAAGTCATTCTATGAGGCGTTTCTTGTCGTATATCTTTATATTTGTGTTATGCAGAAACCTCCCTGAAGGTTTGACACCTTAGTGACAGGACACAGTGAGGGGAACTGAGATGAAATTCAAGGATGCAATGTGAATGCCTCTTGTATTTGTGTCACAGCTTTCCTGATTTCCACAGCGATGGCACTCTCCTTTTGGCTTCAGATAGTTCTTGGGTCTTCAATGATAAATGGTGAATGTATGCATGGTTTGAATGTTGAATAATCCCCTCAGAGTTAAGCATCACTTTTGCATATTTGCAATTTTTCTCTCAGTCTTCTGTGCATTTCAATGGGCTTAGATTTCCCTATGCAATGTTTAGAGATAGAGGGTGATAATGTCATGCTGCAGACTCAGAGGGATTACTCCGGCCCCAGCTTGCACAGCAGCTTTTGAAATGACAGTTTTGGTGATACTTTAGTGCAAGGTGGTATTGGAGATTGGACAAGCAGGGTTTTGTTTCCCTCCCTCTATTCCATTTTTTTGTTCTTGCGTCACAGACATGGAATCTGTCACACATGTGAGAATTGAAATGAAATCCGTTGCAGTCATGTTTCCCCTTGTTAAATCCACAAACTTGCGTGTCTTGCATGTCACTGAGTTTGAGTTTGACGCTGAGAGGGGTTGAGGTCAAAGGTCAACACACTAATGTAAAAGTAGTTTGATACTCCTCTTATTCTTAACCAGCTGCCCCATTTGACAGAATAGATCAATATGTAGATTAGGAGTTTGAAAAGGAGCTTTCAAATAGAGTTCACACTCTTTTTCTGCTCTTCTGGACGGATCAGTCATGCATGCTCTTCACCCCCGACCACAAACACACTTCTCTTTTAGCTCGCGGAACGAAACTGGAAACTGTTTCTGCTTGAATAGCAATCCTTTCTGAACTGGCTTCTTGATGTACTGTCAAAATGAACCACTTCAATTCAGGAACCTGAACAACTTCCTGTTTCGACCCTGTAGCATGCAGGAGAGAGAGGAAGTTCCAAAGTGTCATTTTGACTTCAATAATAAAACTCCTCTTGGTTTATTCATACTCCTGACACTGAAATGAAAAAATCTTGTTAACATGCCTCACACCTCATCTTGACTTTGTTCTCAGAAATGAAACTATATTTCTCTTAGTTGTTTTTTTCTAACATCTTAAATCTGTCTGGATACTCTGCAGTTTAAAACGACTGCTGCTGATTTGTTTTTTTTAAACCTGTGGCTGACATATGATTTACAGAGCGTGACAGACGCTGTGAAAACATCAGCTGACTGGACAACAGACCGTGACACAGATTAAACCAGGCTCTGTTTCAGAGGACATGACTAATGTTTAAACATGTATTAAAGGGGAAGTCATCAGCTCAGTTAGGTGTAAGAATGATGTCTTCTTTAAAGTGTTCAGATGAAGTCAAACAGAAGTCATGTTTATTTGTTCAGTCTGTATCTGGCTGTAAGAGCGTTATCTGCTAGCTGCTGAAACATCAACCTCATACTGTTCCCACAGTGATTCTGCTCATACCAAACCAGACACATCTTCTAAACACCAAATGGCAGAATGTAAAACTTTTATCAGACCAGGAGGAGACAACCAGGAAGCAGTTTCCAAAATGCTGACCTTACCTCAGAATTTGTTTTTCCTCATAGTCCACTGCACAGCTCCTACATTGCACCTTTTGTACATTTTTTGTTTTTTATTTTATATATTTTTTTATTTCTACTTTATATATTGTAATATCTTCTTATACTGTATTATTTAAGTTGTTGCTAGTTCTGCTTTATTTCCTTGTTAATTGTTTAGCACCAATACACCAAGTCAAATTCCTTGTATGTGTAAATGTACTTGGTAATAAACCCTGATTCTGATTCTGATTCTGAATGTAACACACTGATGTTCTGTATATTTCTGTGATTGCACATTCGAAGGGTAGCCTCTCTCTCTCTCTCTTCCAGTTGTTTCGACATGGTGACCGCTCCCCAGTCAAAGCCTACCCTACAGACCCGTACCAAGAATCCGCTTGGCCACAGGGCTTTGGACAGCTCTCACAGGTACAATCTGCCTTTACACTTATCACAAAGTATTCATTCAGATTATTCATCTACTCTTGAATAACATGATCATTATTTAACATATAAGCTCTATTTATCATCAACTCCTTTTTTTTCATCTTCATGTGGTGTTTGATGAATATTTCTCCATTTCCTCCTCACTCCTCCTCACAGTTTGACACCTGAGGAGCTCGCTTAAGGGCGAGGAAGCTTTATGAGTAACTTTCTTCTTTACAATGATGTAGTCTGAACTTTAGGGGGACATTCTAAGAAGAGAGAATTGTCACTAGGAGCATATAGGAGTCTTTGTCCAAACGGCCCCAGGAGGGTAACGCTTCCTCTCTTGTGTTTCAGGAGGGGATGAGGCAGCACTTCAACCTGGGCCAGTTCTTCAGAAACCGATACAAAGGATTCCTCAACGAGTCCTATGAACGACACGAGGTATGCTGACCCTCACACACTGACTGTGACCCTCCTTACACCTGGGTGTCAGCAGGGTTCAAACTTGTGCTGGAATGTTGAACATGATCGATGATTAGCCTCAGTTAGCTTCTCACAGTTTTTTGTCAAACGCTAAATCAACATCTCGTTTGTCCTCAGATATCAGTCCGGAGCACGGACTACGATCGCACCCTCATGAGTGCTGAGGCCAACCTCGCAGGTCCCACCTCCTCTTCCTCCTACCTCAAATGTCTCTCATGTTTTAGTTATTTTTCTTCCTCATGTGAACCTCTACTTCTGTCCTCCAGGTCTGTACCCGCCCACTGGTCAGCAGGTCTTCAAGACAGACTTACAGTGGCAGCCGATCCCGGTTCACACAGTCCCACAAAGTGAAGAGAAAGTACGTCCATATTATCTATATTTGTAGAAATGCTTCCTGTAAACCTTTGTCTGAACATCCCTCCTCTTCTTGTAGCTTCTCTCTTTCCCCAGACATGACTGTCCTCGCTACGAGCTGCTGATGACTGAGACCGAGCAGGCGGAGGAGTTCCTCAACGTCACCACCTCATACCAGGTAAAGTCAGGAAGCTGAGGGCCAGTGTTTACGTCCCGAGGGGTTTAACTTCTTAACTCTACAGTAGTTGTTTGCGCTCCTCTTATGAACTTGAAATGACCTTTGACCTGTGTTCCTCTCTTCAGGACTTTATCGAGTTTGTGAGGGACAAAACTGGATTAAATAAAACCGATGTGGAGTCAGTCTGGAGCGTGCACGACACACTGTTCTGTGAGGTGAGACACACACACACAGGAACTTCACAGTCAAAGTGAGGAAAGAGTTATTTCACCCATTTGGTTGCGGTGAAGAAATATTTCTTGTATTAGAACTCCCTTTGACCTTTGTAATGACAGTGCATATTTGTATAACCAAAGAGGTGTTGTTAATTGGAAAAACAGGAAGTGTTGAACTCCAGTTGTGATCATGTGACATGACTTCCCTCAGGCCTGCCTGCAGAATGGAGCTGGGCCCCTGAGAGGCTCAGTGAACGGCCCCTCTCAAGATAGCCTACAGGCTAACATCAGCTCCCTTAGAAATATATTGTTATAAGAAGAGGAAGTATAGAATTTAATCAGGAGCGATATGGATCAATGATGTGTTCATTAGACTGCATCATGTTTATAATGTATAAACTATTTAAGGCTTTTAAGTTACAGCCAATTAATTAAAATAATTCACTTCTGAAAATAATCTTAGTTATTTTTGTGTTCTTTTGGAATATTATTTAAGTACAGGAAGTGTTTGCAACCTCCTGGTATCAAACGTGAACGACTTGCTGAAGTGCCTTCAACCTGCTTTCTTTCTAATGGCCAGCAGGGGGCAGCTGAGCTGAATGAAACAAAGTTAAAAAGGCGTACCTCTTACTTTATTTACTCACTTTTTGTGAACTTTTTCTCCAATAAGTTTATGGTTTAAATCACAACCTCGGAATCTATTGATAATGAAAAAAATATGTTGTCAGGAACATTTTGGTCCCATTTAGAGTAAAGACCTAAAAGAAGGGCGTGGCTTTCTATGATTGACAAGCAGCTTCCACAGAGGTGTACCACCCTGTTGGGCACATATGGTAACTTTTTTTTTTGGTGAAAAAATCGAAACGGTGATGATCAACATGAGGCTTCAAAATGGTAGATCACAGACCAATCGATGATGTCACAGTTGCTACGTCCATTTCTTATACATAGTCTAAGTTTCAGACGTGAACAAAGTTAATTGTAGACTTCTGCTTATTTAGATGTTTTCTACTAAATTAGCAGTTAGTTTGACCTTTTCAGAGAAACATGTTCTTACAGTTTCACATCCGTGTTCACATGGAAATCAGCGAGGCTCTAAAGGACAGCGTGAGCACAAATATGATCCAGACTTATCACTATTTTTAAACTAATATTCATGGTAATTACCACTTTAAAACGAGTTAAACTGGGTCACTGAGGTCAACAGTGTGAGAGATAGTTGCAGTTAGAGGACTGCTTTCTTTGGCGTTCCTCCTTTAGTGAGGGGAGGTAGAGCAACAGCTCTGATTTTACTTCATGAAACAATAATTCTCTTAAATCATCAGATTTTCTACAATGTAAAAGAAAATGGGACTCCGTTTCAACTTCGTCCAACTCACACATTACACAAAGTCTGTTTTCTACTGGAATATTTTAGAATCGACCGACTTCAATGATCTACAACTGTGTGTATTTGTGTGTGATTTCAGTCCCGTCACAACAAGTCAGCTCCAGACTGGGTCACTCCTGAAGTCATGCAAAAGCTCCGTTTCCTTAAAGATTTTGGATTTAAGGTAAAACTTTGCAGCAATTGTTATCGTTTTGTTGAGGAGTTTTGCCGTCTCAGAACAGTTTTATTTTTCAAATCTGTTTGTTCAATATTCACAGGTATTTTTCGGGGTCCACAATCCTCAAGAAAAAAGCCGTCTGCAGGGAGGTAAGAAGACGACTATCAGACAAGATCAGCCGGAGAGGAAATCAGAACAATGTGTTTTATCTGTTTAATCATTGCTATAACATTAAGCTTTTTTAAAGAGTGTGTTTGGACTCTGATGCACACAACAGGTCACAGATTGATTTTTGTTTTCAGTTTTGATTTATTGACAAAGGGAATACTGTAAAATATGACTGTTTGTTTGAAGGAGACTTAAATCTTTTGTTTGTTTTCCAGGAATCCTTCTGGGTGAAATAGTGCAGAACATTTCCAAGATGGCTGTCCCAGACCCCAAAAATAAACTCAAATTGATGATGCTGTCAGCGGTAAGCAAGTTGACATGACAAGCTCTATGACAATGTATTTAGAGTTTCTTTCAGGTAACACTGTGAGCTAGATTCAAACAAAGTTTTATCACCAATAATCGCTAAATTTCAATAGTTAAAAGCGATTGGTCGCATTTTTGGAAATTCCATAATTTGACTGTCTCAAGCTCAAGGCAAGGCAAGTTTGTTTATGTCGCACATTTCAACAATAAGGCAATTCAAAGTGCTTCACACAAGATAAAAGCATCATGACAGCAAAGAAAAGAAACATTAGAATAGAAAATTAAAAAATCGCTGAAATTATTAAATCTGAAAATATGTTCAAATAAAAATAATTCAAATGAAATGAATTGAAATTAAAAAAATAAAGAAATTAAAGTCAAGAAATTAAAAGAGTTAAAAAAAAAAAAATAGCTCAGAGTTCTTTACTTGCTGCTTTAAATCAACCCTGCTTTTATTTTGAAATGAAGTAAGGACCTTCTGGTAGATCGAAGGCGACAGCAATAACTTAACTACTTTGGACTCGTCAGCTGAGACACAAGTTCTTTTCCATCACTGCGACTGTAGGGAGACACTTATCTACGGTGCACCTAAAGGGACGATCGGGCTCTATTTTACACAAAGTCATGACCTTGGTTTTCTTAGTTAGTGTTCCATAAACTTCTTGTTTCATTAATGTTCAATGTGTGTTTCTTTACAGCATGACACCACTGTGGCCGCGCTGCAGTGGAGCCTGAACGTGTACAACGGGAAACAACCGCCGTACGCCTCCTGTCATATATTTGAGCTGTACAAGGATGAGAATGGGTAAAACACACACACAGGATACTGACATGTTTACAACATAATTAAGAAGCTGATGACAGAAAGAGAGGAAACATATAATGACAAATATTTCTTTCCAGAGATAAACCTCTAAATTAAAACTAAAAGTATTAACTGATTGATTTCAGCTCTGAATAATAAATAAATCTTATTACCCCTGTCTCTGTCTCCCTCTCTCTGTGTCTTCTTTCAGTTCTGCTTCAGTGTTGATGTTTTACCGTAACGACAGCTCAGTGGAGCCGTACCCTGTGCAGTTACCCGGCTGTTCCCTTCACTGCCCCCTAGAGGACTTTGTAAGGATTACAAAGCCGTCTATTTCAGAAGACCGGGACAAGGAGTGTCAGCTGCCTTCAGAGAGGAGAGATACAGGTGACGTTTTCACACACTACACCTCAGAAAGTCCTTTTATTCCCCTCCTCCATCTCTCTTTATCCTTCTTTTTTCTGTCTTTCAGAAGTCATCATCAGCCTGGCGCTGTCCGGCTGTCTCCTCCTCCTCCTCATCGCCCTCCTCCTGGCGTTATTTGTTGGCAGAAAGAGCCAATGAGCACTCGGGGATACCAACATGTGATCAACCAGGAAGTAGGAGAGGACTCCTGACAGGAGTACAAGCTCCTCCCTAGGAGGTCGACGAGCCTCGTGTCATGGGAAAGCAGTGATGACGGTGAACTCTGAAAGACCTCTTTGATGGACTCTGTAGGATCCAGTTCCAACATGGTTTTTGTTTTGTTTATTTCTTTTGTGAAAGGTGAGTTTTAACCAAAATGGACCTACCTACAGGACTCTAAACTGAGACCATGTTTAAGGACCAGCTGATTCCCACATCGAGCTAACAGCAGAGACAACACGTAGCATGTTAACTCGCTGTCAGCCAATCAAGCTCATGATTTAAAAACATGGACAGTAGTCAAGACCAGGACACACCTGAATCAGAGTGCTCTGAGACCCAGAGCTTAAATAACTAAATCAATATCTTGTGTCCGTAGCACAGGGAAGGCTGCGGCTGGAACCGAGGGGCAAAAAAAAAATCAAACTACAAATGAATAGAAATCATTATTTGTTTTAGAATGGGTGCTTTGGTCTTGATTTAAAACCTGGAGTCCACCAAGTCTGAGACCAAGACAAGACCAAGTACTACAACACTAGTCTGATCACTTCTGTTATTAAAGATTGCATATGTCCGTGTGTAAGTTTACCTTTTTGTGTTCAGTGTCTGTGCTCACTCTGAGGCCTAACCACCGAGCTGCCTTCAACATTTTCAAAACCTTTCTTTATTTCTTCTGATTGAAGTGTTCTTTGTGGAAGGTCAGGTACTTTGAGTTGGAGTCTCTAAAACGCTGTGTTTGAGTAAAGCAACAGCTCAGTGGTGTCTTCACTCAGCAAGACTTTTGACCTCCGGAAAGGCGGGACTCTTCTTCTGTGTGTCAACAAGAATCAAGTCAGTCTATTTGAAAACTGGAAACCTTAACATTTGTGTTTTAGGATCTGAATAGCTTCTTTAAAAAAATTTTTTTTTAAAAACAGCTTTGAATTTTTTGAAACATAAAAATCTGTTTTGTCTTTGAACTAATCACATTTTTGATGCAGAGCTGATATTAAACGCTTTTCAAGAAAATCAGAAACTGAGGATGGAAGACTTTGAGCTATTGCAGTTTAAAGGTCACATATAAATCCACTTCTCCATGTTCCTCTAACACTAATATGTGTCTCTAGTCCATCCTCTCCGTCTTTTGCCTGCTCCACTTTTCAGAAAACGTGTGCTGAAACAAGCCATTTGGAGATGTTCCCTTCATGACATCACAAAGGGCAGTAGCCCCTCCCCCAGGTGGGTGACACTCCCACAGCTAGGTGTTTGTTCTGCCCTCTGAGTCTGCCTTCTCACCGTAAACAATAGGACATGGAGCGAGAAAGACAGAGTACACCCAAGCCCTTCCAGAGAGGGGGTGTGGTCAGACACAGCTCATTTACATATTTAAAGGTACAGACACAGAAACAGTCTGTTCTGAGCAGGGCTGAAATAGAGGGGTTTAAAGACATGATCAAATACAGGATCAGAGTGGATTTAGAACAAGAAACTTATTTACATATGTTGAAGAGGAGGAGAATATGTGACTTTTAAATCTTAATCAAGTCATAATAAAGATGAAGGTCTTTGAATTGAATATGCACAATGTTTAAATAATCTATGGAGAATACAAAAAATACAAACATTGCTTTAATTGTGTTAATTGCTTGAATTTCATGTCATGCTGTATGAAGTGATCGATGGGACTCAAAGAATGTGTCAACTTGTTTTAAATAAATGATCAATCATGGCACATGCTGTTTGCAGATCTACAACACAACAAACAAAGAACATAATTACCCGAGCACGAACTACCATCTTGAAACCTTAGCGATTATTATTATTTTTATTTTTATATTGTTCCGCCACTTTGCAGCCACTTTTGAGGGCCTGAACATGCCCGAAAACTCACCAAACTTTCCACGGTCATCAGGTCTCGTGAAAAATTTGATATGTTGGTGGTTTCGTAAAAACAAATTCGCAAAATGGCTCAGTGGCGCCCCCTTGAAATTTTCAAAATTTTCACGTACACTCAAAAATTGGTACGCATATTAAGCTCGTCAGGATGGACTAAAAATCATCTTGCAGCGTTTCAAAAAACCCGACAGGAAGTCCACAAATTAAACTTGAATTTCACGATAATGGCTCAAAATCGCAGATTTCAGCCTTCCTAGTTGAAGGATCTTGCCCGAGGGTGCTCATCTGATCGGCGCAAACTCAGTGTCAGTGCGTTCTAGACAGGCTCAACATATCTTGTTGTGCGCTGCATATTATTTTGTCAAAGGGCGTGGCCGTGGCGTATGTTTGAAGTTTTTTTAACGTTTTGGCAAGTTGCCAAAAAAGTAAATGCTTATATTTCTGCCATCTAGTGTTCAATTATATTAAAATTTCTCATGCATGATACAGGACCCGCCCTGAACACATCCATGATTGACATTTTTTGATTAGTCACAGCGCCACCTGTTGACAACAGGAAGTTACTGCTTCTCAATTAGCATTAGCCATTGCTACACGGTAGCTCATTTTCCCCTCAAAATTGGTGTAGACCATGCTAACACCTTGGCCATAAAACACTTTCAAGCTCAAACGCCTACGTCCAACGCTGTCACCATACGGATGCGTCGCTCGCCATCAAACAGGAAGTACTTTTTCCATGGGCTTAACATAGTCGTACTGTCCCGAAACTTCATACATGTAATCCTGGTAGTAAAGTCAAACATCTTATACCGTTTGAGTGGGCGTGGCTTAATGGCTCAGTGGCGCCCCCTACAATATTTCAAACATTCAGCCCCTGCAGCACATTGAACCTACAATTCTGAATTTTACTATGCATTTCCAACATGACAAAACCTACAAAAAAGCCTACTCAACCCACGCCCAAAACGCAACAGGAAGTCCACAAATCACATCGCCATCAAACAGGAAGTGGCTGTAACTCTTATATACTTTGATCTTCTTGAAATTACATAGGTATGATCAGGGTTGGCTTCTGAACACCATCCCAAAACAATAATAAAGTTTAACCATAGCGCCCCCTACTGCAAAGTATAAGTACTACCTCCCATATACAATGTCAGATTTGCTCAAAATTTCCCATGAACAATGTCAGTACTGGCATGATCACATCTAACCTAATACAATTATGCTATTAACGTAGCGCCCCCTACTGGAAAGAGGCGGTACTGCATCTCAGATTCTATGTCTGATCTGCTTCAAATTTCACAGGTATGATCAGGGTTGGCCTCTAAACACATTGACACAACAATAGTCAACTTCAACCATAGCGCCCCCTACTGCAAGGACTAAGTACTACATCCTATATACTTTGTCTGATCTGATTGAAATTTCACTTGTATGATCAGGGTTGGCCTCTGAACACAGACATTTTACGTGATCTTCATTACGTTGCCTATTTCAACATGCCAGTACTACGACTTTTAGACAAATCGAACTGCACGGCCTGCTGCTTAGCCACGTTAAGCTGCTGCTGCACTCCCGTGGTCGCGAAACACCCTGACATACAGAGGCGTGCGAGGGCCCTTCATCACCACTTGCGGTTTTAATTCATCTTGGTTTTACATAAAGTTTATTTAAAGTTATCTCCAGGGTGGTCCGACACTGAAAGGGTTTGAAGACAAAACAAAATATAGTCCCTACAACAGTGTAGCGTGTTGGAGACAGAGAGGAAGGATGTCAAACTTTTAAAGACATTTAAGTGGGACAAAATAAGTTCTGAAATGTAGTTGTTAATGTGAAGGATCTTTCTAGATACAGTTACTGGATTTAAGGTTTAAATTGCCTGCCCAACACTTTTTGTAAATCTTTTGTACATACTGAATTTACCGGGCAAGGCTGGGAGATCTGACAAATGTAATTAGTTTGTGAACTTATATTTGGCTTTTAACAGAAATCCTGCAGCGGTTGTATGACTGCATCTTTAAATCAGATTGATTTATATCCTTTAAAAAAAAAAAAATCTTTAACAGTTTTCAGCATAGCAATAATTCCATGTCACTTTGATAAACAGTACAATAATGTTCTTAAAAATGAAAATATATTTTAAATAAAAAAATAGTGAATCATTAATATATAGCTACTTGGTAATGTGAAGTTTTTTTTTTTTTTCATATTTTATCACGAGGCATTGAATATTTACAGTTATATGAATCATAAAATTAAACTTGAAAAAAATACTGTTTTTTTATGGACCCCGCCCCTTTAAGCCGTCGTGCTCAATAACATAAAAAAGAGAATACATATTCATACAAGTAGCCTATTTGGTTAGATGGCCCATTATCAACAAGCACTAATAATAGACCTATGTGGATTATGGCGTCCAAATAAAGTTGTGAATTTTGCAACATTATACAAACGAAAATCTATAAAATATGCTATGTCTCATGAAGAACACACAATTATAAAGCAGATCAAATGTGCTATCAAAGGTGGCGGACAAAAATTTTAAAATTGTACATTGCTCTGGAAAAAACATTAGTCAGGCTTTTTGTTGCTACGGCAACCGGGATACGTCAGCGTTTAGAAACCGACGTGAACAACGTCAAAAGGTTCCTCTCCCTAGCAACACCGTAATAAAGAAGTAACAACTACTCTACTTACGTTTTACAGATTAAATGAGAGATATTTGAGTCAAACAAACACACGACATATCTCAATTCTGTTTCACTGAAACGTTTTAATTTCACGCAGCGGAACGTTTTGTTTGTATTACACGGAACCAAAAAGCGTTGGGACGGAAACCGAATCTGTAAACAAACGCAACTCGCGTTAGCAACGGTGTCAGTGGATTAAACACATGTGAAACACGACTGTGAACTAGCTACCCTCAAGATGTTTAAAAACACATTTCAGAGCGGCTTCCTGTCTATTTTATACAGCATCGGCAGTAAACCTCTTCAGATATGGGATAAAAAGGTAAGCAGCGTTTTAGAATCTGAACCCAATCTTTTTAGCTTCCTTAGCCTGTCATGCTAAAGCTAAGTCGCATAATATGTTTTAATACTGTTTGATCATATGAAACCTATAATCGCTGCTGCATATTGGTTTGGAAGCAGTTTTGAAGCAGTTTTAAAGCAGCTGAGAAAGCTTGTTTTAGCTCCATTTGAGGCTCATTACAGCATTTTGCCTAAAAAAGGAGAAACTGTTTGAGCTAAGAACAAATTAAAGTTAAACCCCCTGATATATTTACTACGACACCATTCATTAGCGATTACATGTTCTTTCTCTGTAGATATTTGGTGTTAGTTTGCCACGTTAAACTATATTTCAACTAAACACAGTCTTAATTAACGATCACAAGCACCAGTTTATCTGTCCACAGGTGTTACGGTTTAAAGAGTGACCGTGTTAACTGGTGACCTTCGGGCGGATACGTCTGTGGTTGTAGTTACAGCAGATGTTGAAGACGGATAGTGTCCATAGACTGTAAATATTAATATATATTTAGTGTGCTAACGAATGGCTCTATGTTGAGTTTCTATTAAAATGTAAAACTACTCATCATCACATATTTATTAAAAAAAGAAGCAATAGAGTTGTTAAACCATAACACCGGAAGAAGCTTTTGCTTAGCAACAGATACGAATAGCAACAACATAATTGTATAAAACA